AATATAATTTTAGTCCTCAAATTTAGAAAAAAAAAATTTTCTCTATGGTTTATTTACAATCAAATCATAATATAAGATAATTTTATAAAATAAGAAAATATTAAATATATTTTTAATCTCTCAAATTTAAAATAAATATTTTTAATCATTATAATTTGAAAAAAAAATTGTTTTAATTTTTATGATTAAATTTCATTAATAAATCTGTAAAATTCTTTCGCACAAAATACATTTACAAGTATCATTATAGTAAAAACATCACATTAAATCTAATTAATATTACATAATTATTTTAATCTATCATTAGCTAATATGTTGCTCGTAACATAAGAGATTGAAACATTTTTTTTAAAATTATATAACTAAAAAGATTATTTTTAAAAAAAATTACTCTAAATTTAAAGGTTAAAAATATATTTAAGTCTTTTCCTTAAACTATATTTTAAAGAATGAAAATTTTAAGTGTATAAGATTAATTTTTACAATTAAAATTATTTATCAAAGTATTAGTATTAAGTGCGTTACGTATTTGCAAAAAAACAATTAGTGAATCAAAATTAACATTTAAAAATTGTCTTGACCAGGTCCATCCTACGTTATCACAGACGATATCGATTGGATGACAAAACCCTACTTGTTATGGACGAAACATGTTTTCTAGTCAAATAAACGTGCTTATTGACTTTTTTTGTTTACTACTAATAATTTATATAAATGATAGCGATATTCAGAAAAATTATATAAACGTGTTATTTGACTGTTTTGTTAATTAAATGTTAACTCATATATAAACGTGCACATTGACTGTTTCCAATATATATGTTATTAGCATTTTAAATTTAGATAAAATTTCCAACGTATGTATATATATAATATTTAAAAATTACAAGAGTTGCATACAATTAATTAAATTTCTTCTAAAAAATATATATTAAAGATAAAGTAATTCAAATTATAAACTATTTACAATTACTTTTAAAAATTAAATTGAAATTTTATAAAGGAAAATTTTAAAAATAATATATGATTTTCAAAGGAAAGCAAAAGATTAAATCTGTTATACCCTTTTCTTTCTGTTCCCTTTTCTAATTCTTATTTAATTACTCATTTAAAATAAATAAAAATGATAATTATAAGGTATTATTATTATTTTGTTTTAATCAAGCAACCTCAATACCGAAATAATTGAAGGTGAAGAAATACAAGTTTATTCATTTATATTTATTTACGTGATTATAAGTCATCATGAATATTATTATATATTATAAAAAGGGTTAAAATGATTAGTAGATTATTATATATATATATACACACGAGAGTTTAAACGATACCGGTGTAACTTTTATTAAATGTTACACCGCTCAATAACTTTAAATTAAATGTGAATTTTGTAAATCCAACCGTTAGATTGAAAGTTCATTCTCTTAGATCATATATACAAAATTTTATATTAATCCAATGATTTGATACTTTATTTTTACAAAACAAAATTGACATAATATATACATTTCAAAATATAATAAAATATGAACATTTTAATTACCTTCAAGTTATTGTTCATCAATTTTAACAAAATTTGTTATAAACATATAAAGTGATATGAATTCTCAATCTAATGGTTGAATTTACAAAATTTACATTTAATATAAAATTATTGAACGATATAATACTTAGTAAAAAATAATTAATAAAAATTTATTAAACGTAATACTTAGTAAAAGTTACACCGGTGTAATTATAACCCCCTCTATATATATACACACATTTTTTTAAAATAAAAATAAAAAGAAGTAAAAAAATATACCATATAAATCAAGTATTTAAACAAAAATAAAATACACATGCACACATATATATAACTACATATTACTTATGTATTTTATTTATTTATTTATTTATTTATACTCTATAAAAAGATATTAGTTATAGATTTATAGTGACTAATTGAGATAAATGAGTTTTCACCATGATTTTATTAATACTATACCTTGGTCAATATATATACTCATTTAAATTCTTAACATCAAACCTCAAACTATAAATAAATTCAAATTTTATTTTCTTGTAAATCATCATATTAATAATTAAATGTCTTTATAACATCTTACTAATCATAATGAATTTTAAAACAACTAAATAACATCTATTGCTATATTATTTATTTATTTATTATTATTATTAAGCTATGTATTTATATATATATATAATCATATTGTCTCGGAAAGAAAAATTAATTATATCTATAATTAAGCATAAAAAACTAACCCATTATAATATAATAATAATATGATTGATCTTGACTTTATTTTCAATATTTAGAAACAAGATTTTAAATAAAATATGTGTAAATAAAAATTCACTTATCAAAATGAATTAAAGGGTTTACCAACAATATATATAAAATATTTAAAACAAATAAAAAGGTTAACTAATATAATAATATTAACTAGGTAAAACGAAAATAAATAAATAAGATGAGATGAAAAATACTCCACTAAACAACTATATATAGTTATATTTCCTTTTAATAACATGATTGTTATTTTCTCTCCTATCTTAAAACTTGTTGTAAGTCAAATCTTCATTCTTGACTAGAACAATTTGAGTAAGTAGAACAAACAAGAGAAGAAAGATATGGATTGTGCGTAGCACTTATCTATTTATAGCTTTCATGTGACTCACGCGTGCATAGTACAAATCATTTTGTTATGTATGTATATATGCTTCCGAAGAGATTGTGTTGCAAATTACCTGCAACAGGCAACAGTGGTATAATTACACTCCTTTCACATTTTATTCGATTTTCTACCAAACAATCCATACCAATTCAACATATATATCACAAATGGACTCATGCAATCAAATTTCTACTTTCATTAACTTATATTTTATTATTTAATTCAAATTGTGAATCGTTTTCATGCTTTTTCTTTCCTTCGTCCACTTTCATTTTATTATTTTTTATTAGTTTTACTATATAAAACTACTATATTATATATATATATATATATATTATACACATATATTTATATTACTATTTCTAAATAAAAATAATGTTATACCATTTATATAAATTTGTATTTATTTATTTAATTTTAGGAATTCAAAATACTAATATTTTATTATTAAGAAAAAAATTTATCAACTCATCATAACATGATTAGATAACATTTTATTTATAAAGAGTATAAGTTTACAACTGAAAATTTAGAATATTACAAAATCACTCTATTAATTTAATTTACTCCAGTTTAATGTACATATATAGTAGTGAAGTAATGAAGGAAAAAAACTACGAAATTGTTAATGAGATCTAGCTATGTTGATTACGCAAAACATGTGAGTTGTTGTAAATTCTTAGTAGGTTATGGTTAAAAAAAATGATATAAAATGAAGAATTTTAAAAGAAATTAATTTTAGAGTAAAGTTGCTAAAATTTAGTGAAGAAAAGAAATTTTAACATGATACATAAAAATTTAAAAATATTTTTTAAAACAACCATTAGTTAAAATTAAAATATAAATTAAAGAATCAGTAGTTAAAATTATATTATACTTAAAATTTTTATAAATAATATATAAATTGGATTTTGTATTTATGAAAAATAACCTAAATCGTAATATAAGACTATTTTTAATTATTAATTTTTAAAATATTTAAATTTTGATTGAAAATAAATATGAAAAACCTAAATTGAAATTGATAAGAACACAAAAAAAATCTCTAAAATCTGCCTATCCAAGAAAAATATCTATTAAGGATTTCGTTAAAAAAATTCCTAAAATCATTATTGTAAGATAGTTATAGATACATTTTAGTAGTTTTTTTCATTTTTTTATTAGAGATTTTTACTTCTAAATTATTGGACACATTTTATAATTTTTTAAAATTAATCACTCACCCTTCAAAAAAAAAAACCACCAAGTATAATTTACTTATTTTCAAATCTTAATATTTTTTTCTTTGTTACAACAGTCTTCTCTCCAAATTTCTAAAAAAGAAATAAATATACAGAAAGGAAGGAGGAAATTCCTCTTCTATAATAATCATACATAGAGTGATTTAAGTTCATAAAAACGTCATTTATACTATATAAAAAAAAATCAAATTACATTATTAGTGTCTTATAATATCAAATTAATATCAAATTTGTAATTTTATTCTTTCCATTTTTAATTCCTTAATTTTTATTTTTTAATTTTATAAAATTTATAATTTTAATTCTCATCGAATATTTATCTATTTTTTAAAAATTATTACATTAGTCGTGATATAACATTAAATAAATGAAATAATAATTAATATTTAATTATATTACACTAAATTTCACCAATAATTCTCATTTTAATAAAAATAAAAATATGATAAAAATAAAAATTAAAAATAAAAATTAATTTAAACATTATTAAATATTAATCATCCTATCATTTACCTAATAATAAGTCACATCTTATAACTTTAAAGATTAATAAATGAATATTTAATAAAAAGATCAAAATTACAAATTTTATAAAATTGAGAAATTAAAATTACAAATTTTAAAATTAACAGAACAAAATCGTGGGTTTGATTTTATTGAAGCCCAAAATTACAATATTAAGAAGAAAAATTTCAACGGATTTTACATTTCTAAAAATTTGCAGATTAGCTAATTCATGTTCTTCCCATAACTTGCAGCAAATTTCTTTTCGTATGACAAGGAATATGAATTTCTGCAGTGTCATTGTAGAACAGTACTACTTGTAAAAAAAAAAAGCGTTCTACTTATGTTCTAATCATAGTCACACTGAGACTATTTTATTAGTACAAGAACTGAAAATAATGATGATAAGATAAAGCATAAAAAAGCATCGGAAAAATCTTTGAAGTTACGATGCACTCGTATGTAGAGCTACCAACGAAGCATAAACTCCATCAGTAATCTTCATCAGCGCATCATGTTTTCCCTTTTCAGCAACCACCCCATTTTTTATCACTGATATGATGTCAGCACCTCTAATAGTTGTAAGACGATGAGCTACCACTACAGTGGTTCTGTCCACGCTGACTCTATCAAGAGCCTCTTGAACTATGCGCTCTGACTCTGCATCAAGTGCACTAGTTGCCTCATCAAGCAGAAGGATTTTGGGGTCTTTCAGCATGGCTCTTGCAATGGCTATACGCTGCTTTTGTCCTCCTGATAACTGTGTGCCTCTTTCTCCAACTGAGGTGTCATAACCACGTGGAAGAGAGCTTATGAAATTGTGTGCATTGGATGCTTGAGCTGCTGCAACTATCTCTTCCTCTGTGGCACCACCATCTTTGCCATAAGCTATGTTGGCACGAATGCTTTCATTGAAAAGAATTGGCTCTTGTCCAACCAACCCCATTTGTTGCCTCAACCAGCTAAGCCTCAAGTCTTTAATATTTACTCCATCTAGTAGTATGTGTCCAGAACCAGGGTTGTAAAATCTCTCCAAGAGGCTGATCACTGTTGATTTTCCACTGCCACTTTCTCCAACCAAGGCAACAGTCTACAAACATTGATATCAACAATAATGCAACTACATCACATTTTCTCGAATAAGGTGATTTGCACTGCACAAAAGCTTAATGTGTGTTTGGATCATAGTTGGAAAGTTACGTTGAGTTTAACTTAACTTTCTAAACTAACATTAGAAAAAAATGCAACAAACTTTTTGCTTTTAATTCAACCAAAGTTTCCTTGCAATTCACACTTAACAAACAGAAGAAAAAAAAAACTGTCAAACATGTAAGTATTGTGTTCAAGATCAGGTAACTATGGTTATAAGATGCAAACATGAAACTGAACATACCCTTAATATGTATTTGGTTTATAGGTTTCACAACTTTTAAGACACTTCAACAGAAAAGTACATGTCTAGTTGCTTTGAGTTAAACGGACGGTTGAGCATTTTTCAACGTCAAAACAAACTCAGCCTTAATTAATAGAATATTAAAGTAGTAAGTAATTACCTTTCCAGCTGGAATGCTTAGACACAAATCTTTGAAAATTGGAACGTGAGGCCTAGTTGGGTAATTAAAACTGACATGTTGAAGCTCAATAACGCCAGTAACGGCTTCTAGTGTTCTACCCTCATTGCTGCTGGAGTCAATTGTGGGTTTACTGTCAAGAATTTCAAATATTGAAGCTGTGGAATCTTTAGCTTTGTTGGTGTCTGGTGCCAAGGAACTAGTCTGGGAAATTCCTATTGCTGTGATTGTTAGACAAAAGAAAACCTGCACAAATTTTCTGGTGAGAAGAGAACTAGATCAAAAGAAACATCAAATTAAGATGGAGCATCCCTAAGGGAATGACTGATTGTACCTTGAAAACCTCTGAGAAAGTTGCTTTCCCATGTTGCACAAGAACAGATCCTATGTAGAAACAGAAAGCATTTGTGCAGTATAGAGCTAAAAAAGAGAAACCAAATCCTGCACCACTAACAAGCCCCAACCGAACACCTTGTTTTTCTGGCTCTAAACATTTCTTCCTGTACATGTCCATCACCTTTGATTCAGCACAAAATGAAGCAATGGTTCTGATGCTACCAACAGCATCATTTGCCACCTGACTTGCTTCTTCATACTTTTCCTGCACAGCACACAAAAGATTGCCATGATGTCCATAATACAAATTTCAAACAAAACTGAAAGGCTAACCTTGGCATCTGCACTGAATCCTTTAAGAAACTTCATCTGAATGACTCCTTGCATAAGGACCAAGGGTGACACGGCCAGAATTATAAAAGCAAGAATCCAATTAGCTGTGAATGATATAACTAGACCTGCTGTGATTGTTGATATATTTTGCACAATGAGGGCCAATGTGTCACCAACTAGACTTTTCACTGTTGAAGCATCAGTAGATAATCTTGCACCAACTGCGCCACTGGAAAGTGATTCATTTCCTTCAGTTTGATGACTATAAGGAACTAAACTAAATACATGATGATTGAAATATCTTGCTAACATACCTTGAATTTACAGGATCATCAAACCAACTGATTTCTTGGTGCACGACCTTTTCAAATGTCAGTGAACGAATTCTTTCTATTAATTTTCCACCAGCAATGCCAAAGAAGTAATTTTGCACTGGTATAGTCACTAGAGTAACTAAACCCAAACCCACATATAGAAGTGACCAGAATCTAGAATCTTTCCGCTGTTTTTCTGGAGGTTCAAAGAACATAGATATTGCCGAGGAAAACAATAAGCCAAACATAGGGAACACAACACCTTGTATTATTGCTGCAATGGATCCAAGCACCAAGACAGGAAGTTCAGGCTTGTTTAAGTAGGCCAAACGTTTTAAAGAAATGTGTTTGGGCTTCCTAGTATCAACATCCCCATCAGCTGTTTCTTGGTATCCATGTACTCCACTTTGATGAGAAAGAGCAAAGCTATCTGACTGAGAGTGTCTACGACCACTAGATGAAACTCTGCTTAATGATCTCACAAAGGATGCTTTCTGAGTGGGAGATCTAGGCATGTCACTATCTAAGTTAAAACTGCTACTTGACTTCTCTGCTTCAGAATTAAGGCTACATTCAGCTTCCTTAGCTCCTTCTTGCAGACGAATAAGTTGAGAATAAGCGCCATCAACATCCTTGATTAACTCATCATGAGTTCCTGCATATAAAAGCAAGCATGCAAAAGTTAATACCTTATTCCAAAATGTTAAAATGGACTTTCAAAGATTGTTATATTTATTGACTTTGAGTCTGTTTGGATATAATGTTAAAAGAGTTTGTGAGAATTTATTTACTGAAAATAAAAAGTTTTTTCTAGTAAAAAAATTTCAAAAGTTCTTTTAAGCTTGTTTCCAAACACACCCTTAATATGATAGAAAATGGATCAAAACTGCTTTTGATAGACACATATATATAGTAAAGAATGAAACAGTTGGTTGATGTCTAACCTTCCTCTACAATTTTGCCTTGATGAACCACTGCTATGGTGTCAGCATTTCTAATAGTTGTCAAGCGATGTGCAACAATTACAGTTGTCCTTTTTGTCATAACTTGTTCTAATGCTGCCTGAACAACACGTTCAGACTCAGCATCCAATGCACTTGTTGCTTCATCAAGAAGAAGAATTCTTGGGTTCTTCAAAATTGCCCTTGCAATTGCAATTCTTTGCTTTTGCCCACCAGAAAGTTGAGTCCCATTCTGGCCTGCCATTGTTTCAAGGCCCTGCAAACATCATAAAACACATTAATTAACTTCAATCAAACTTAATGATGTTAATGTGAGGTAATGTGAGGAAGGTGTTTGGATTTTGGAACATCTACACACCTGAGGCAGCTTGTCAATGAAATTTTTGGCATTAGAAAGTGTTATTGCTGATGTTATTTCCTCATCCGTTGCACCTTCTTTTCCATAGGCTATGTTCTCTTTGATACTAGCTGCAAACAGGATAGGTTCTTGACTAACCAGCCCAATTTGTTCCCTTATCCATCTAACTTGAAAACTCTTCAAATTCACACCATCTATGAGTACTTCTCCAGCATCAGGATCATAGAATCTTTCTAATAAACTTATTACTGTAGACTTCCCACTTCCACTTTGACCCACCAAAGCAGCAGTTGCACCACTGGGAACACACAATGAGAATCCAGAGAAGATCTGCACATCTGGCCTTGCAGGGTACCTAAAGTAAACATCCTTGAGTTCAATGTATCCCTCTATGTCTTCCAAGATAAGACCACTGGTGTCATAAGAATCAATTTTTGGCTTTCTTTTAATTGTCTCAAACATCTTATATGCTGCTGCTTGGCCTGCCGCAAATGCATTTAGGCATGGGGATGTTTGACCAAGTGACCTGAAAACATTAGAAAGATTAATCAGGTTGAGTACAAACTTAAAAAAAATATATTATGCCTAAACAATGTCATGCCATTGCCTCACTTACATTCCACCAGTCATAAGAGCTACTATTACAGTGATGACGGTTCCACCATTGTATCCTCTCTCAACGACCAGTTTAGAACCATACCACATGGCAAGTGCATAGGTGCAGAAGACAATCAATAAAAGTGATCCCATTCCTAACCCCGAGGCAATCCCTTGTTGAACCATTGTTTTGTAAGCATCCTTTAACTTGATATTATACTTTTCTATTGCTTTTTTCTCGCCAGTGAAAGATGCCACCTGATTAAGTTTCAGAAAGAAGTCATGGACAACGATTAAATATAAAAATGTGAATGGTTCAATGTTTTTTTACAATTAATTTGTGTGATTGTGTCTTACAGTTCTAATAGCTCCAACTGTTTGTTCAACAACATTTCCAGCTTCTGCATATGCAGCTTGCCCACGACTTGACATTTTAGCCATCAACATGGACAATACTCCGCCAGTAACAATAACACATGGTATACATGCAAGCAAAACAACAGCAAGACGCCATCCTCTGACAAAGGCAATCAAAAAGCCACCAAAAAATGTTGAAGCAAGTTGCATAAACTTTCCAACCTGTCATATAAACAAACTAAAAGTCTCGATCTGTTTTGTAACAAAATCTAAGTTACACTTGTTATGGAAAGAAGATAACGTGATATAATTTCAAGATAATGACACTTTATAACAATTAATGTTATCTTGTGGTGTTTTTTTCATGAAAGGAAGGAGTATAATACCTTTTCTCCCATGGCATCTTGAATGAGAATGGTGTCACCAGACATTCTCCCAATCACCTCACCAGTAGTAGTTTCAGTGTCAAAGAAAGCAATGTCCTGCTTCAATATAGTTTTCAAGTACAAGCCACGGATCCTTGCGGCTTGTCTTTCACCTGTCATCATCCAACATGCTACCTCTGCAGCACTAACGTATATCAGAATGCTGCAATTATATATCTGATACCAAAACACAACATAATAGTCTCTAACGAATAAATAAGCAGAAAAAAAAAAAAGAGAAAAAGTTAAATAAGTGCCATCTTACGAAGGAATGAAGCAATTCCAGTCCCAATAGCCAGGTAAACAAACAACAAGGACACCTGAAATTCAAAGGGTCAGCACCAATACATAAGAGAGTTAATGTAACTTTTATTGAGCAAACAATCATGTTATAGATGGGAAGTATAACTTATTCCTGACAGAATACTTCACTGACTATTTTTAGTAAAACTCTCTTCTAGATCTTACTTAAGAGACCAAAACTCAGTTTCACACTTTCACTCATACAAACGTAATATAGTTTAACAAAAGAATGGTTTTCTTGAATGGAGATGGACATGGGGTTATTAAAAAAAAAAAGAAAAAACAGGAAAGACCTTTCATTGCTTAAAAGTGCAACAAATGAATGATTTACACAAATGCATGCATGCATACCTTGGAAACTTCCTTGATGGTATTTGATGGATCGGCGGAGCCAAAAGTGTTGATGAGCTTCCCTAGAATGAGAGTCATGATAGGCTGCGACCACCCATTAGCCATAGCGCAGATCGTGCCAATGGCCATGAATGCCACGTCACGACGATCCGCGAAAGTGAAGAGCGTGTAGAAGGGAACTTTTTGGTTGGCTTTGTCTCGTTCATGGTGTCGTGAAGGTGGCACGTCCTCTGAGTTGTGTGCCATGGCCGCCTCAAGAGAAGTGCAAACAAAGAAGAAGAGAGAATTAATAAGAGACGTACGTGTGTAGGTGGTTATGAGAGGGTGTACGTAGAATAAGGTGAAGATCACAAGATTCAGTTAGGAGGAACGAATGTTTAAACTTTAAGCAATGAAATACATATATATAGACAGTGTATGTTAGGGGTGCATGGCACAATATCCTCTTAGGTTTGTTGCGTTGGGTAGGGAACAAGATAACAGAAACACAAAAATTTTAAAACCACAATATATCTTTAGTATTATCTTTCTAGAGGATTGACTATCGATCTTCTGGAGTGTGTATTTCTTTGTGTTGGGGTTTTTCAGTTTTTGGGCCAAAACATTCTATTTAAGTTGTGTGAGAAGGTTTTGGGAGCTTGTTTGATCGAGTTTTCCTCTTCCACAATGAAAAAACAAGAGAAACTTCTTAATTTATACCAGTGAAAATGAAGTAATTGTGGCTCGTCAAATAAAAATGATAAATTAAAAAATCTTCCTTTAACTTCAAAATATGGAGATAATTAAATAAATTAATTAATAGGTAAAATAGTAATTAAGCAAATTAGTTAAGGGATAATTTTTTTTTTTTAAAAAAAAATGTGTAACATTGGATAAGTTGTATGATTTCTGACCGGAGGTTCAATTGATCCTAAGGAAAAAAGTATATAAAATTTTTGTTTTGCATAAAATTTATAATCTCTTATTCTTGAAAAACCTTAGAGAGATCTAAAGAGAGAAACTCTGATTCTTCTTCCCTTGTTCTTTCTAGACTCTTCTAGTACAAAGACTTTTAAAATTGGCTCCTAAATAACCGATTTTAAAAGTAATGTCATTATTTACAAAATTGGGAGCGCGTCACTTTTAAAATCGGCTGCCTTATGACCGATTTTAAAAGTCTGTGATGCTACTTTTAAAATCGGCTCCTCAATAGCCGATTTTAAAAGTGCTACTTTTAAAATTGGCTCCTAAATAACCGATTTTAAAAGTACTACTTTTTTTAAAATCGGCTATTAAGAACCGATTTTGTATGTAGTTTTTAAAATTGGCTCTCAAATAGCTGATTTTAAAAGTAGCACTTTTAAAATTGGCTATTTGAGA